GCAGACGCTTTTATCCAAAGCGACTTACAAATGAGGACAAAGCAAATGATTCATCAAAAGGTGCAAAACAAAACCCGTAAAAATGCAACGAGAGGACTGTTTCATTTTTACATTTGTAAAAATGTACATGTATATATCTATGGTTATGGATATGCACATATGTACATATCTATGGTTTCACCCCTCCCGCCCATTGCGATGCCCATAGCAATTTCACAACTCAACCCGCCCATTCGAGGTGATTGGCAGCCTCACCAACCAATGACTTGTAGTCCTTAAATTCAACTGACCAATCAGCTTCTCAAGTGCAAGAAACCGGCGTTTCATAAGGGGTTGCGATAAGTCATGTTTCATAAACAAAACAGAGAAGATTGTTTAACTGTCACATTGATTACAGAAGAGTCTCAGCAGTAGAGAGAAATTTCTGATGTATTCTTTTGAATGAAGAAGTAAGTCTACAATCTGTTTGCACTGTTCGTACAAGTGAGCTGTAAGCAGACTGGTAGCTGTCCAAGGTGGCCAGGAGTGTGACAGTATTATTTGAGTTCTCATGATTCAACTTTCGTCTTGAAATTTGATGTCTCGTGTTGAATTATGTAGATCTACACTTAGTCTGATCATGCAGACTTATGCAGTTCTCTTGGCTTTTGCAGACACATCCTCGACACAATGAAGAGACTGTACTTCATCGAGCCGATCGTCGCGATTTACGCGTTTGCCAGTTTTATGGTTTATCCCCTCGTGCAGCAGTACGTGTATCGCAGATTGTGGCTGGAGATCACAAACTCTTCTTACCCCGTGTCCGACAACACTTCCCATTGCGCCGCCAACAGCACCAGCCACAGCAGACAGCGATATGTGAGTATTGAGTAATGCATACGTATGTCACATGATGACACAAACACTTTTACATCACGTACATATTTGCTTATAAATGCTTACTAATGAACTCCTTTGCATTATATAGCAAAAACATTTACAACAAGTGTTGCGCTTTTCTAATAGCTAACTTCATTTTTTAACAGTTATTTTTTTACCAGCTAGTCCCAATATATTTTTAGCGGTCGTGTGCATCAGTTCCCCTCGAGTTCACACAGGTGTCCAGTAGAGTAACCACAGGCTCATCGCATTAACCGCATTAGTGTTGTCGTGTCCACTTTTTAAGTGTTTATATTTAAGGGCTTATATTGTGGGCTTGTTTTGTCAGTCAGCTTAATTTTTTTCTAGTAGTATCTGGAAACGGGGTTTTTTTAAAATATTTTTTTTTATTTTTTTTGAATAATCAAAATCTTTTTAGTGGGGCAATTTCCAGTATTTTGCAGAGCATTGTTTGAAAAATGATTTTTTT